TTATTGTCATATAATGAATTTATTGGGGATCACTTGTGAACGACTCAGTTTAAAATAGCAAATGTTATATCTGATCGCACACACTATATGATATATATCATGCTTCCCAAGACTCTAGCACAATCCAATTGTGAGTCACTTCTGTTTTCACTCTTTTGAAATGCAAAACTCACATTTATTGGAGACTTGACAGTATTGACATCCAAATATTTGAAATAATTAAGTACCTTTTCAATGCAATGAGACCGTGAAAATGCTAAACTTTATGGAGTTCTACAAATTCTTATATCTAAGATCGCATTAGCAACTCCAATAATTTCCATTCCACTTGCTTTATAGCATACGTTTAGTAGCATTTATGTCATTATTGTCTCTATTGATGATCAAATTATCACCAATATACAAACAAACAATGACCTTATGATTTTAATGTGAACACATTTATCACTTCCATCATTCTTCAATCCATTTGCCGACATGGTTTGATCAAATTAGGTCATTGTTTGGGTGCTTCCATAATGTGACTTAACAAGTTAATACACTTTCTTTTATTTACCACGAACCACAAAACCCTCGGGTTATTCCATGTAAATTTCTTCATCCAATTCTACATTTAATAAAGTTCCTTTCATATTTATTTGATGAATTTGGAGGTCATATATCACACTAATAATTTTTGCATCCAAATGGATGTAATTTTTAATTTCTAATGAGTATATATATATTGACAAGATCAAAACCATTTTTTTTGTCTAAAGTCTTTGACACAAAGTCTTGCTTTATATTTTTCAACAGTTCCATCAACTGTTATTTTCATTCTAAAGATTCACGTTGAATCCAAATGTTTATTTTCTTGAAGAAAATCAATTAACTTCCTATATTGTTTATTGACACCATCTTTCCAAAGAATGAGTCTACAGAAGACACATGAAATGTTACAAAATCATATTCGAAGGAAGTAAATATCCTTTAACATTTATTAGGCCTCTGAATGTCTTTATTAAATACATTCTCCTTTTCATTTCCTAAGCCCTTTAGACCCATCCATAGACTACTCAAGTCTAATTTTACATTCCACAACCATAGGTCCTATTTTAATTCTTTTAGGAATAGGAACTTGGTCTTTGACTAGATACCCCCACACTTTGAAATTTCAAGATGGATTTCCTTCCTTTCCGTTTCTCATATGGAAAATATTGTATTCTGAACAAACAAAATCGCTTTCTTTCTAAAAAATACAAAACTTTTTGTTGTTCCCTTTTGCAGTAAGGATAGTTCCTCCACACAAATTCTGTGTAAATCCGAACTTATATATAATGCATTCATCATTTCTTTCAATGTTCGGTTTTTCATTAGATAGAGGTGAATATGGCAGTAGTTTGATGGATATTCCACTTTCCAAACATATTTCTGCATAATGAGATTTATACCCTTCATTCTTATCACTTCTATTTTGTTCACACTGATTTTTAACTTCGATATTACATTATCTGGACATTTATATTGCTTTATCCTTACCATTCAGCAAATAGACATAGTCATATCTAGTGAAATTCTAAATAAAAGTAACAAATACTTTTTCCCACCATGAGATGTTGTTAACTTCATATAACTAATGTCAGTGTAAATCAATTTTAAGGGATTAGAATTCCTTTCAACATATTTATAAGAATGCTAAACATACTTAGATTCCACAAAAACTTGACATTTTTATTTATTTGCACTCAAAGTTAGGCAAAACTTCTAAGTTGATCAGTTTTCCTTACAATGTTTTGTAATTGACATGTCCCAAGTGTTCATGTCACAAACATTGACTCAAGCAAGTAAGAACAATTAAAAACATTGAGTTCGAAAAGCTCTTCGCGAGGTATCTTTTTCCTCACTAATATTTTGTTCCTATTTCTTATAATATTGTGTGATACAAACATTGTTTAGATTGTCAAATGTCCTTTTCAGAAAGACATTTCCATAACTTTCAATATGATTTATATAGAACTAACTACCCATTAACAAAGTTTCATCGGGTTCAGTAAAGACAATATAGTCCAAATGTTATTTTTTTTACAAAAACATAATAAATGATTTATTCACCAATATTCATGTCTATGCAAATACTTTTATTATAATAGACATATCTTTTCATGAAAAATCACAACATTTTAAGTAATAGTTTTTTTCGATAAAAGAACACAATTATTTGGAACAAGTATATATATAATTTGGATGTCTCATACTAATCACACTATATACTAGTAATAGAGAATTTCAACAATCACAATACCAAATATACTCCAAGAATTTTGTAGGTATAACATAATACAAAAGTATCATTGAATTTCATATCTTTTGCTCCTAAGTTAAATTAGACACCAAGTCTAATCATAAGCAAATAACCCCCACATTTCAAATGTGATATCAAAAATATTTTTCAAGTATTTGAAAATAGTTTTTCAACATATTCTAATGTTGGAAATATTATTCTACGAAAGAATTATAGTGCTGCAATTTTCTTTGACTGTTTACACAATGTCAAAGTTCATTCTATAGAGAAACAAAATCACAAATTCTAAGTCACTGGTATTTTTCCTCTATCATAAATAGACATACCACTTAGTATTTTAAATACTAACAATAAGGACAAAAAAATTGTACAATTTATTTCTATATTACATTGAAGTTTATAGAAAATAAAAAAAACAACACTGACTTATTATGTGAAG